TTTTTACTCCATCTGATTGCCGGTATAGACGCTTTTCCTTGCCAAAAATAGAAAAAGTTTAACAAGTTTTTTCCTTTTGGTTCCTTTGGGGTTAAACTGTATTCGTTTCTTTCTGTGTTTAAATGTTTTTCTGTTTCTTTTTTTTGTTTTTTTTTCGAAGTTATTGGAGTTAATTCTTTTTTCTTTTTAAAAACATTTGGTACACACTTTCCTCTATTTTCTTTTTATTTTGACCAAAGCTGTGTTTGTTGGTGTTGGCGCTCATCAGCACAATTGGAAAATAATAATAGTTAAGTTGTATTCTTGATTATCTTGGGGACATGAATTTAACAACAACTATAGAATAGAATAGAAATAACAATAGGAATAATAGCAAATATATTCTTTCAATTTAACCGCCGCTCTGTATTTAACAAAGAAGGAGCGCTACTTCAATAATGAATGGAGCAAAATAATCTTTAGTTTTCTTTTAATTTCATTTTGACGCTGCCTTATAATTTTACTACAACGCAGAGCAATTAATTTGTGTTACTCCCAATGCCGCAATACGGAATTTTTGTTCAGTATGTATTGTTTACGGTACCTTTTAATTAGGTATGCATGATTTATGAGATCAGTTCGAATTTAAATGAAAAAATATTTCAGTTTTTTTAGTGATTAGACTTACAATTACAATGAAACAAAATTTGTTTATTGTGTTGGGTATATTGTTATATCCTAATCAGTTGTCATAGAGATAATGAATAATATGATAAAATTCTAGCGGATGCAATATTCCATCTCTAATCATTTTATTGTAATAAAATCATTTCATTTTTGATATTCGACTAGATTTTACTAGTGCAGTGTTTTCCATAACATAATGTTAAATATTAATTTCTAAAAATCTGAAGTATGAAAAATTAAAGAAAGCAAAAAAAAATAAGTCAGGATTCTTTTGATTAAAAAGAAAAGGATTATAAAAAGAGGGTAATCAAGAATCCATTATCTTTTTATAGATTTTTTATGGATAGAAGAACAGTTTGCGTTCATATCAAATGACACCAAGCAGGATTCCGTTAAGAATATTTATGTGCCGACATATAGAACCACTCATGGGTCTTGGGCTTTCACATATTTTGCAAGCTCCGAAACTTAAGCTATGTAACTTTAAATCTAAGTAACTTTAAATATACAGATGATCCAGTTTTTATATTTAACCTCTGCAATTATGCAAGAGCAAATACTATTACGCGAACAGACAAGCGGAAAAGAAAGAAATAAGAATTCGCAAAGAATAATAAAAAGTAAATAACCAAAAATCCATTATCTTCTCATGGATACAAGAAGAATTTATAAGTATTTAAAACCAAATTTTTTGTAAATTAATGCTACGAATAACCATAATATCGTAGTTGTTAGGAATAATAAAATATATCTATACCAGTTTAAGTGTATTGTGCTGACATTAACAATCGGTTTCAAAAAGATAGATATGAATTTTTAAGCTTCTGAACGAATTATCTAGTGGGTTTTCTTATTTCTAAAGAAATTAACATTGAACATTGAGTTATTAGACCCTCTGCCCATCAGTGAACAGAATCTGACCCCTGACTTCAATATATTCATCATAAAAGATTTTTTAACAATTAGATTACTATAACAGTGCTCATTTGGTTACAACAACAAATACTTAAAATCCATTCCTTAGACTTCAGTTTAATCCAAAACTAGGGAGGTCAGCATATATTTAAAGAAATAGTCATCAGATAGACAAACATATATTCATCTCCCAGTCTTGTTGAAGAAATACGAAATATATAAGTAATATGTATATTACTTATAGTGTTTCTAATATCTTCTTTCTTCACAAACTACCATATATCCTTCTTTCACAATTGTTAAAAGGTTAAAAAATATATAGATAAATAACAAATATACTATAAACAAAATAATAAATATAATAAATAAGTTAAAATAAAATTAAATCGATTGAAAATAATTGAAACTTACATTTTATTTCACTTCAAATTTCTTCTTCAGTATACCATTTTAACCTTATCTAACTTGTAAGGATATTTTTGTCCTGTATATAACTTCTGGCCATTGTGGTTTTGTTAAAATATGGATATTATATGAATGTAGTAGTATTGTGTGTACTTGCATTTGTTAAGCAAATAAAATGCCTTAAGTAATTTTGTTAGTTAATTACCGAGCGGAGAAGAGGAAGAAATCGTAGGTTTTGCGCAATTAATTGTTTCTGTGTAAATGTTATATGAAAAATTCTGTATTAAGATTCAAACATTTTTATGATTAATTACATACGAAGGCTGTTCACATCCTGAAAAACTTTATTCATGTGTTCTGCACAATTAATCTTTCTTACAAATTTCTGTTTCTATAGCCAAAACAAACATTAAATCATCCACAGTTTACTTTTCCTTCACTGGATGAGAAATTCTTTTATATTTGCATTGAAGGCTTGAGTTAAAGAATTAAATATTTTGAAAGGAACCATGCGGAGGATTAAATAGCAAATATATTAAATTTATATAAAATAATATATATTTTCTTTAGTAAAAGATATTTAATATCAAAATATCTAACTACAATTAAAGATATTTTAAAGAAATGAAATAAAATTTAACTTTAGCAGTAAAACAATTTGTTTATTTTTATTTTTAAAAAATTTTTATAAACTTCTTATTGTCTACTTATCCTGCCTACTGTTGGCCGAGATATCACTCTGTTCAGGTACCTATGGGAAGTTTACGATGACACGTCTAACTAACACTTCAGATACACTTCATTCTCTAATTGTTAGCGATGTGACATTAGAGTCTACCAGAGCTTAAATATCAGCTTAACTGTCAAAAAATTTTATTATATTTAAATCGGTGATCTTGTTACTTAGGACCCATTTTACTGAGTGGTGGATTATCATTACTCCTGCCTAAAAAACACTGAAATGCTCTAATAGTCGAAGCGAAGTGCTAAGACTCAGTTTACTGAAAACATGCCACAGTCGGCTTGATCATCTATTTTGGAATCGTCTGTGTAAATATCTACCACAAACCACTTTGTTTAAGTCCAGTCTTCTCTACTACGTATAAAAAAAATTGAATCCCAGATATAGGTGTGAGTTAGACGCAATGTAGTCAATTGAGGATGGACTGGCACATCCTGTATCAGTTTGATCACATGCCCTATGGTATACTAGTCCAGCGGGAGACAACATTAAATCTGGTTGCTACTAATTTAGTTTGCTGCCTTATCAGAAACAAAATCTCGCTGAGAGAAATAAAATTTTTGAATACCTAATATGTGCATAGCTATTTTTTTTGTAGACACGTGAAACGTTTAGGTATCACTCAATGACACAATCTCAGAGTACATTTCCGCGAAATTCTTCATAATGCTACGAAGATAAACATTTTTTTTGATGAGGTAATGTGCAGATGAAAACTCGTTCACGCTAATATGAGACACTAAATTCTCTTTTTCTCAACAATTTTCGATTTATTTGTGACTGTCGCACCCAAATCTGCAAACCATCTAATGAGTCAAAGTCCAAAAATTAATGAGTTGAATAATTGATAAAAATGTTTTTATTTTAAGAGATATGACTTTCGTGTCTTCAACAAATTTGTTAAAAATAAGTTATAAACATTTTTACCGTAAACTCTTCCCACAAACTCGATATTCTTCCATTCAAGTTTGAAAAGCGGAGATTTCAAATATGTTGGTTTATTTCTTCAACAGAATGAGAATTTGGAGAAGGATGTAAAGGAAAAATATGCTTATCTCTTAATTCGTAGCAGGATTGCTGAAGGCTCAAATTTGTTATCCTCGGAAATAATTTTTTTTTTTAAATCAAATTCGTTATTTTTGAAGACCCAGATATATGAGACACCAATCGGGTACAAATTTGAGCTCAACTATTTGAGCAAACTATTTTCAAAATGTTATAAAACCAAAAAAGAGAAATAAATATCTCTCTTTTGTTGTATATTGGTGGATATCGTCACAAGTTGTAGTCCTTAACAGTATTAAAAATCTATCAATCTATTCTCCACCTTTTAAAGCTAAGTAATCGATGGTTTATGCAGTTTTTCTCATTTTTAAACACAGCAGACTATGTTAGATTCGACAGTAAATTTTTAAAAAAATTTATTTGGTATTAATTAAAAAATATTTAACTTATTCTTTTAATTGCCAAAATTTCCACATACATTTGATTTAAATATTATGTCTCAAAATCCTTTGAAATAAATTGTTTATTATTTGATTTAAAAATAAAATACAATTTTTTTAATGCATATATATTTTTAATTATTTCTAATGGAAAATGTGAATACCATTTTGTTTAACAAAAATTTATTTTTGATTTTTCTCATCTCCTTTAGTTACATTTTAATTAAGAAATTAAATCAATCTGTTGGCATAGATTTGCACTTTAATCATCTGCCTTTTTCTCTTGAGAATTGATATCATTGCTGTGGAATTTGTACAAAAATGAAAGTATCTATATTCTATGCAAATCAGTGTACAATATGTCATCTCTTTGACATCGATGATGACAGATATTCGTTTTCCTTTTCTTTTTTTTTTGTTTTTTTAGAACATTGTTGAGTATATCACATCACCGCAGCACAAAAGTATGTACAGACTATTTCTAGGCACTGGGAATACGTTATAACCAAATATAAACAAAACGGAGAATAGAAAGAAAAAAATTATATCGAAAATTGGAGTTTGTAGGAAAATTCAATTTATATGCAAATTTTTAAAGAAAATTAGTGAAATTGTCTTTATATACAAAACTTCAAATATTTTTACAAGAATTAAAGAATTAGTGAAATTAAAGCATCTTGAAATAAAATAATTGGCTGCAGTTTTCTCTTAAATAAGTTGGTAGTACTTCACCGCCAAAATCCGAATTGAACGATATTTTTGTTAAAGTTCAAATTAAATTAATAGATTTTTTTAGTCAATTGAGATTTTATTATTTTATTCCTTACATAAAAATTTATTAGTACTTAAATGTTAATATATTTTAAATATGTTTATATATGTTTTCGAGTATACAATTTCCAATCAGTTCTTTTTAATCAATAACAATTTTATTTCGTATAGTATCTAAGCTGTTCATTTTCGTAACTTGCATCACATGGTTCTTCTTCTTCTTCTTCATCTTCATCTTCATTATATGGCAAATACTGTTTCTGTTTATATTTATTTTGTGATTTATAACTTGAAACATATGCGGTATCATCGTTTTCATTCCTATACTGTTTGTAAGGTACTGCAATTTGTTCTCCCATTTCTTCAGTTTTATCATAAGCTTCTTCATCCTCATCTGCATATCTGTTCACAGTTCCCTGCTTGTCATATTTATTCCCAGTTTTTTCTTTTACATATCTATTTCGGGGTTGTTTCTGTCCATATTTGTTTATAGTTTTCTTCTTTTCATATTTGTTCATTGTTTCTGCTCTATTGTATTTATCTATTGGTTCTCTTTCTCTATATTTATCCACAGTTCTCTCCTTTTTATATTTATCTACAGTTTTCTTTTTTTCATATTTAACTACAGGCTCTTCGTTTTCATATTTATCCACATCATCTTCATTTTCGTATTTATCCACAGTCTCTTCTTTTTCATATTTATCTATAACTTTGTTTTTAACATATTTATCGACAGTTTCCTCCTCTTCAGATTTATCAGCCGGCTTGTCCTTTCCGTATTTATCTACGACTTCCTCTTGTTTGTCTTTATACTGAGTTTCCTTGATGCCATATTTATCCATTATTTTTTTCGACTTTTCTTTATCGGCAAAGAAATCAAATATTTTCTTATCGAAATCTTCCTTATCCTTCAATAGTTTTTCATCGAATGCTTTCTTTTCTTTCTCAAGCTTGTCATCTAAGTCACCGAAGATATTTTTAAAGGGTTTAAAAAATTTTTTATTTAATTTTGGCAATTTAACCACAAAATGATCTTCATCTTCATCATTCGTTGGTTGATCAGTTGCTTCACTTTCATCGTCGTTCTTTAATAATTTGCTAAATATATTGTCCTTAAGGAAAAATGCTTGTGACTGTTGAAATACTAAAATTAAAGTATAAAATTAAATTAATTTAATGTTATTTTAATTAATTTTAATTACTTAAGCATATCAGAAAGAATAGCAGCAATCCTTGTAAATATTTTGTGCGTGCGTACATGTTTGCAACCGCAAAAAATTAAATTCTGTTTACAAAGTACACTCATTTATACATTTTGTATTTAGGTTTATTTTTAATTAAAATTAATTTTGTAAAAAAGATGAAAACAGACGAGTACAGATAAATTCTTAGTAAACACATTAATGCATTGATAAAACTGCAAGCTTTGTACGTGGTTTCCAATGAGTGCAACAATCAATTTGAAGGCATTCTTAATTGCAGATAAAATATTTGCACTTAAGAAAAAAAGATATTTTAATTTATATTTTATAAATTAACTGTGAATATCCAAAGTTTCAACCAAAAAAATTTTCATGGTTTCGTTTATAATTCTTTTGTTTTATCGCCGCTTCAGTGCAGCCATATTAGAGTCCTTTTATGCGCTATTTCCTGTGGCAGGTCTGAGGCTCGTGTACTGCATTTGGCAGTTATTTAATTTTCGTACAATTCAAACAAACTACAATTTTAATGCATTTCTACCCTTAAGGCAACCGCAGGGTGTGGAAAATGCACTAATGAAAATATATACGAGCTTACACATAAACGTGTAGTTAAAAACTTTTCGGCGGAAATTGCAACTGTTTACTTTTGAAACTCATTTAGCACTTTATTGACGGTGCTCAACTATTTGCAAATAGTCCAGCCCACGCATACTCCCCCACTTTTTATAGGATTTCTAGCCTTTGGTCATCACTTCATTTGTTCATAAATTTTTGTGAATTTCGAAAGTTTTACCTCACAACACTCCATTCGGGCTTAATTCAAAAAGATTTTAGTTCACCACACTTTATGATAGTTAACGAGGGTAGTATATAATTGGGTTAACATAAATAAGGGCATTTAATTGACTCCCACAAACGCACTCTCCCATACGTTATTTATTCTAGCAAATACTTTACATTAAATACGACGACTGTTTACACTGCAGAGCAAAAAGTGCGAAAAATAAGCCATTTAATGTGCACAATGGGAGTATTTATCCACTGAAAGAAGGAAATAGTATCGCTGCATTTGCTGTAGGTAAACAAACTTCATCCGTATTAATTGCACACCAGTTGGCCGTAAAACATATGCTGCCTAAGCCTGTTTAGTTTTAATAAGAAAACTACAGCATGATTTTAGGTGGTTTTGCTTGCCATTCTCATTGTGTGCAATAAAAGGTTTTGTGTAAAGTTTACCTAAATATTTTGTACTACTTCGACTTATTGTATAACCATTTAACATAAAATCCATTGTTTAGTTTTAAATATCAATTAATAACTAAGTATAATGCTAGCATTGTTATATACCCAATTAGCCAGGCAGTTATGGCAATGTGAAATCCAGATATCTTAATTAGCTTCTATGAATAAACTAACTTGCCTAGCATTTGTAGTCCAACAAATTATAAACGGAGTATAATTCGAATATTATCTAAGATCATTCATGATGAGGACTTGGCAATACTTGCAACAGCGTTGTATGGTCAGCCAAATTTCAATACATTAATCAAATTTTTGTTGTTGCTTCTTCATTGCTTTTCGAACCTTTTTAGTTTGTTTTTCACATAAGACGATTCACATTCGACAAAAAAAAAGAAATTTACATTATAAACAAACTTTTGTCTAGACACGTGATCATGAATGAATCTACGGTTACAAAAGAGCTGACAAGCCTTCGGGTATTAATAAGTTGGCTTTACTAATTCCCTTTGTAAAGCCTTACTTTATTGCGAAGTGTCTGCTTATCAGATTGTATCAGTAATTATAAACATATAATAAAAACTGTTCAAAAAGGCCTAGACCGATTCCAAAAACTGAAACAATCATTCAATTCAATTTAGTAATTCAATTTAGTAATAAAAATGACAGGTTTCCGAGTCTAAATAGATCTGAACTCACATATATTACTAGTTTTTTAACTAGACAAATCTCTGTTACTTTATTCGTTCTTGACCATTACTAATACTCTCGTATTAAACACGTGTTTATGAAGAAATTTACTGTAATAAGGGATCGGGCAAGCTTACAAAAGAAGATTTTCTAACTCTCTTCATAGATACCTAAAAAACCCCGAACCTTGGTCTCCTAAGGCCAAACATAGTCTAAACAGTCAGGAATAAAAATCACAGGTTTCTGAATCTAAATAGATCTCAACACTAATTTACCATTGATGTCTTAAGTCTTCTTGCTCCTTTTTAATGAAACTTAAGGTTACTGACACCTACAGTTTCTGTTAGAAGTGAAGTAATAGTTCATCTTATCAACTCGTGGTCTGCAAGTCCATTAATTTCATTCGACATTTATTGATTTAAAAAGTATAGCAAAATGGAAGCAAACCTTAAGGTCTGCAATCAAGAACCAAGGACATTTTTTAACTTGTCAATTGGTGTATTTTCTTCAAGGTTAAGTCGATAACAGTCATTCCAATAATGTTTCTCAAATTTGAACAAGTGCAAAAAAATATTACTACTTTATAAACAAAGGTATATCCATTAATATTTAGTGAAAATTATTTACTCGTATGGACTGCTAGACTCTAAGACTATAGCTACTTGATTACTTTTGTTTCAAGTAGCTGTGTAACGTATGATCACATTAGGAGTGCGAAAGATCCAAGGTCGATCCATAAGCTTCTTATAATAATAATAATAAGCTCCTTAAAAATTAGAATATTTTGCATCTCAGTCAACTGCAACACATAGTAAAATTCAATGAGACACTTACCAATAATAAAAAATATTCAGTTAAGATTGTTACATTAAATAAAACGAACAAGATATAGTCAAGAAGTTTAGTCATTCCGTAAAATCCCTAAGATGTCAAAAAGTTCTTATAAAATATTATAATAATTACATATATATTATTTCAAAAATAAGCATTTTCTTTGAACTAGAAAATTTTCAATAATTTTAGGGGGATACTATGCTATAACTCATCTTTGTTAGTTTTAATATTACAGATAAGATATTAAAAAATAGTTACTGATAAACACATTTTGAAATTGTTTATAGAAAAGAATTCTTTACTGTCACGCTTTATGACTATGCGGAATTAACTATATAATTAGTTTGCGATTAGTCACTAGTTAAACCTTAATATTAACTACTAATATTTTATATAAATATACGGAGTGATAATCTTATGGACTTAAGGACTGATGTTCATGAAACTTTGATGTTATTATACTACACATTCTATACTAACTCTACGTATACCGTGTTTATATCCAAATTTATATCCAAATTTTTGTTTGTTGTATGCAAGATCTTATCAAAGGCTAGAGAGTCTAAACGTGAAGTTGGAAAAAAATTGGAATGACTATATTTCATATAAGTGCCAATAAGGAATAGAATGTGTGTGTTATATTATATCTCTGTATAATATATACGTACTATTGAGATCTATGAAAATTTTAGTTAAATTTATTAACATTCACAGACCTATGCACCTAATTATTAAGTTGAAGTTATAATTTACGGAATTCGTCCTAAGCAAATATAATTGACAGAAATATTAGTCTTAAGAAAAGAAATTTGACTTCTCTTTCTAATATTATTTTTCTTTTTCAAATAAACTGCATTATGTTAAGTCATAACTTTTAATTTATGTAGTGCATCGTAAATCAAACTATACAAATTCATAGAAACGTTATATAAATCATGAAAAATACATGCATATACATACATGAAAAAATATTTAAATAGTAGTATTGCCCTGTCTTCTATATTAATTTTCTAATGCAGTTAACTCCCCTCGGACAAATTTTCATCTGCTGTCATTTCTGACATTTTAATTTTAACAATGTAAATAATTTGGCAGTGTATGCCATACTCACTCATACTTATCAATCTTATCAGTGTCTGGGACTGACAATAGTACAATTAAGGAAGTGACGTCATGAATTATTATCTTTATTGCACAGGCATGAAAAATACTTACACCCTTAAGTTACTTTAACAAAAATTATTGTAGTTAATTGTAAATTTTGACATAGTTTTGTTAGAAATCGAACATGCCATTCAAAATCATAGCAAATTGCTGCGTTGATGATTTTTATGAAAACTTGGCACGGGTCAAGTTGAAAAATTAAATAATAAGTAATACTTTTTTGATTTGCTTTATTTTTATTTTCAGTTCTTTCATAAAATATGTAAACAATTTTATTTTAATAAATTTTGTTGTTGTTAATAATTTCGCTATTTTTATAAAGCACGTGCCAGATTATTAACAGTTACTCACACTTCTGATATTGATATGGATTTTTGGCATTACATATCGCAATGCATATTTCTCGAAATCAAATAAATGTTGTGTATTTAATTCTATTCTACCTTTGTAATCAGTAATCAGTAAACTTTTTGTATACTGAATTAATTAGTAATAAAATAATAATATGTTGGTAATAATAATACTCTAGATATTACTCTAGATAATATTCTAGGTAATACATCATTATTGTTATTATTACAGTGACAGTCTCGAACATAAAACTTGCACGGGTTTAGGGCGTTAAGATGATATTGTGAAATTTATTTTAACCATCTTAATTATTTCATGTGAAACTATTCGCTTTCAATACCTAACATTATAGTTTTTTTTTAATCAATAGAAACTCTTCTAATTTATTAAAATACAAATATTCTAGAGTGTTTAGTTTTTATTTGGAGAGAGTGAGAGGACAATGATATAGTAGACTTTAATATTTTTTTCAGTGCTAGTTTATCTTAACTTTAGAAGAAATCTCTACTGGGAGCACTCAATATACAAGCTTATATATATAACAAATAGTTATCTCTCACTTAGAACGATGACATATAGTTAATATTCACTGGTGAGCCCCTATTTCCTTTTTTTTGGATTATGTTTGGTCCCACTTTTTATAATAAATGGAGTACACATAAATGGAGTATGTGGTAAGTAAACGTGTTTAGCGACTCTCTTCGTTGATACTCAACAAACTAAAGTAAAGTTAATTATCAACATTTTAAAATATTTTTTTACTTAATGCCTTTTTTAAGTAACGTTCTGACACAATGGAAATCAAAAATCTGCAATAAAAACATTCACCATTTATATCCGTGGTGGGAGCTAAAAAATTAATTATAAAACGATAAATTTCTTTATTAAGACTAACACTACACTAGTCAACACATAACATTTTGGATCTCTTTTTATGAATTGATCAACGCTTTTTGATTTAGGGTGTATTTTTTTTACTGAATAAAAACCAATAACAGAAAGTTATTGAGTTCCAAGACATACTAACAAGGCTTTCAACTTATGAAAATTGATTTTATTGAAAAGTAATTACTTCTTATCCAGATTTTATTTAAATACCTGCTATAGTGCCTGAAAATTATAGCCCGAATATTTAATCTGAAGCCTGAGTTAATCTGAGTTTAATAAAGACAGAAAATGTTCATAATATATAAATGGGTGATGTTTTCCTTACCCACAATAGATGTTATATTTAAAAAAACCAACGTTTAATTTAAAATATAATGGCTAATCCACTATTGGGTTTTTAGTTGTTTTTCAAAAGAATCCCGTGCTATATAATAAATTTGATCTAAACCAACTCTTAATTTAAAAATAAATTAAGATTAAAAAACATAAAAAATATAAATTAAAAACTATTATGAAGAAGATCAATACTAAACTCTAGTCTAACCGTCCAACATATGAACTTTCTTAAATAATATAAATATTAAATAATAAATATTACATATAATATAAAGAGACACTTCATTAGCATATACACCTTCTCATTTTACTTTACTCCACTTTACTATAAAATCACCTATGCTTATTGTCTGCACACATAAGGAAGGAACCAGTAATTATTTATTCAAGCAGTAATTTACTTTAGTCACCGAAATTACTTTAGTCAGATGTGATACCACGTTCTCCAGTTGTTACACTCCAGAAGCATACAGTATTACATATATACATACATAAGTAGCACACTTTATAACACTTTATAAGTATAAGTAGTGCTAGTGACATCACTTTAGCTTATTCGCTTTCATGTTTTCATGGGTATCTATTTTATGGAATAGAAGTAATTATATACTCTTCATTCTTCAACAAGTAATAGTTTTTTCTAATGTAATTTGTTTTAACAACTTTATAAGTAATAAAAATGTTACTTAAATGTAAATATTATTAATTTTATTAAAAAAATATAAAAAACTTGAATTATGGCAACTTATTAAATACCAAAAACTTAAGGATGAACAAAAAAATTGAAAAATTGTCCTGGACTTGGCGGCATACCAGGGAATGGATTCAGAGGACCATTTGGTTCTACTACTTCATTAACAGAATTATCTATTGGTGTTGTTGATGTGGGCGCAGAAGTGGTCGTAGAAATATTGGCAGCAATTGTAGTTGTGGTGATATTAGGAGCTAACGTGGTTGTGGTGGTTGTGACATTAGGTCTCAATGTCGTAGTGGTGACATTAGGTGCTAATGTACTGGTGGTGTTATTAGGAGCCAATGTAGTTATAGTGATATTAGGTAATGCTGTACTAATGGTGCTATTAGGAGCTAATGTTGTTATAGTGACATTAGGTGCTGCTGTAATAGTGGTGATATTAGGTGCTAATGTAGTAATAGTAACATTAGGTGCTGATGTGCTAGTGGTGATATTAGGTGCTAATGTACTAGTAGTAATATTTGAAGCTAATGTTGTAGTATTTGGAAATAATGTGGTTGTGACTGGTTTGACGGTAGTAGTAATTACAGGAGTTGTAGGCATTATGGTGGCATTAACAGTCGTTATTATAGTAGGTGTAGGCTGAGCTGTTGTTGTTATGTTTATGGAAGGTGTTGTCGATACTGATGAGTTCACTGTTGTTGGTGTTCTTTGAGTTGTTATTATTGGAGTTATTGTTGTTGGTGCATTGGTAGATACATTGGCACTAGGCATTGTTGTTGTTACTGTTACGTTGGTCGCCTCTGTCGTTATATTCTGCGCTTCAAGGCGTAAAAATACTAAAATGTAAATGATTATTAAGCAATTAAGATTTAAATGTATTATGTATTATTTAGTAACTTCACTCACCGCAAAATATCATTAAAATGGCAATTACTCCTTTAGTAAACATTTTCAAATTAAATTTATTTGTTATTTAATTCGTTCAACTATTTTGATGAGCTGTTAACTTTTTGTTAATATGATAAATCTTCGCAATTAACTGATTTCGATCTTGGCTATGCTGTTGCTCTTATTTAACCAAATTTAAAGCTAGCGAGAAATATATTTATTAGACATTCAGTGTTTCTTATATGATTTCACGTATTTCGGTTCTATGAGTTTATATGTATACATCGATAGTTATCATTTGTACTATTGATGTCACGTTTGTGATAAATCTATTTTTTAAACTGATTATCTTAATTTATAGCTGACAATTATCACAAATAACTTTATTAATTATGTGAAATGTTCGCTGGTAATTAAGAAAACGTGAATAAACTGAAAAACTTCCGGATATTTTTGACTGAATTTCTTACCAAGATTTTTTATCTTTATAGTACAGATAATAAAAAATTATAGCATAAGAAAAGTAAGCAGTTTTAATGTTTTTTTTTTTTTGTTGAATTTATCTAGTAATTTCTATAGCGCATAGATGATTTTATTTTAATTAATTTTTGACGAATCTTTTTTAAATATGATATTAATATTATTTAGAAATTTAAGCTTTTTTTTGTATTAGTAAATAAATATAGTAATATTAAATATAACTCAGTGTGTTCTTACTGCAAAATTTCATTGCATCTTTATTTTTACACACAAATTGAAATATAAATATAAAAGTAGAAGTTTTAGTAGCAATATATGATATTATTATTATTATTATTATTATTAAATATTAATATTTGACTCCCTATGAATAAATTAATATTAACTTAAAGTACTTTGGTTTTTATGATTTAAAGACAATCAATAAAACTATTATGACTTATGTGTCCAGAACAAAAAGTGCCTTTCGTATGATAACGTATCATAACTCACTCAATTGGCACTAAAGTTACTTCTATTAATGGTAGTAAAGCTATATAATATAAGAAATTATATTGTATTTTAATTGCTAGGCAAAGATACCTCGAATTATCAGAACCGGCATACGATTGTGATCAATATTTTGTTATTTTGACATTTTGTTAAATTAAAGCTAAATAAATAGTAATAATAAATTAAATAAATAATATATCTAAATCGAAATAAGAGAAAATATTCTTTGCATAAATAAATTTAATTTACCACTGGTACAGTTGTCATAAGAAATAGATATATATAAAGTTACTCGCATGTATTATGTGTTTTTAATATTTTAAAATTAACTTGTAAAATTAAGTTTAACTTCTAATTTTATATAAATGGAAGGAATAAACTTACAAATAATAGAAAGAAAAACTTTAATAAACTTAATCGAACCTCTAAACCCGATGCAAAATGAAAGCGATATGTTATCTTCCATCAGGTATAGGAAAATACAAAAGATTGAGATATTTTAAAAAGTTGTTATAAGATAATGCGTTCCTTCAATTCTCACTATCATTTAACTGATTATTTTTTTTCCCAAGAAAAACCGATATATAAGCTTCAGTGAGACAAAAAAGATACTAGTGTGAAAGGATATATCAAAGAAAATATGTTCTTATAATTCTTAGAATGGTTTGTAATTTTCTGAATTTGGAAATATTCGTAATTAAAATATAAGACATGGCTGAAACATACGAGATTTGAACACACAATAACAAAAATTTCTGAATTTTCAAAAATTGCTTAATAAATCTAATTATTTTATTTAGATTCCCTTTAATATTTTACAGTTATGTCGACACAGTTTCCAGAGAAACGTTTTTAAAACATTTTTGAATCTCACCTACGATCTAAATACTAGGTTCTGAATGTCTTTTTAAGAGTAGGATTTTGAAAACAATCGGAACCTGTTGTTTTGATGAACATGTTTAAATTTTTAGACTTATCTAACATTTTTTCATATAAAACATCGTCAAACACTCTAAAACTTACTCGTTCGACAAACACATACTAAGTACTACAAATGTCTAATAGTTAAGATGCTTGCTACTAGCAGTGCAACCAATACACTAAACTTATATCGACTGTTTAAAACTAGTATCGTACCACAACTACTATGTACTAAAACTGATCTTAAGCAGCGATGTTATTCGGATGTTAAAACATTATAATGCTCGAACACCTTGCAGCATTACTACTTACAGACTAAAATAAAAATAAAATAAAACTAATTCCGTTGACTAGTAGACTAGTTAACTATTTAATGTTATATGTGTTATTGGGAGCTGTATATTATAAATTTGTATTCTGTATTTATCTAAGACACATTATACAGAAATACAAAGCCATACTAACAATATTGATAGTAAAAATATTGATATTGATATATTGATAGATCTTTGATTATACGATGGCATTGTAAAAATTTGTGGAAAAACTGAATAATCTAAAACATCTAAATAGTAATAGTTCTTCAGTTTTATGGAAGATTAATTACTTCAATCCCCTCTCTATCACATATGACAATTTATATAAATTCTGTTTACAATCCCACAACGATATTTCAACTTCCATCAATGTTCCTACTAAGTTCATCCGATATTAGTACATACATAAATCATACATACGTATGATTTATTCATATGAGTAGTTTTAAAATAAATGATAAATCAAAATAATATGCTTCAAGAAAATTGATCACAAAAATTAGCCTAGCATACCTTAGTTTATTTTAGTATTTTTTTATAAAAATATATTTTGTTTTTAATAAGTAGGATATAAAGATGATGCAACTCGTGTTTGTTTGAAAATTATTTTATTTATTTATTTTTTTAGAAGAGATAAGCTTTTAGACAACAATGTATTGACTTCTAACGTAATCTATATAAGCTATTACTATTTAGTATTTACAGGTAAGAGTAATTTATTTAAAAACGTGACATTTTGAACAATTTAGATTGAGTTTGTTTAATAACACTTAAGCAATTTTATTCTAACTTGTTCTAAAATTTAGTATATAAACACGTAAAAACAACGAATTAGTATCAGTTTGAGCCTAGCAATTTACTGAATAAAACGCTAAAATGTGGTTTAAATTTTTATATCTCCTACTAATTGTTTCAGGTAATATACAATATATATACTTTTAATGGATAAATATTAAATTTTTTTTGTATTTTAGTCTATTTGTGTGTATGTTATGCAGAAGATACTCCACCAGAGACAAACCCAGCACCACCATTTCCAATTCCGGCACTTCCAGTTAATGTTCCACCAGTTCCAGGAACTCAAGGAGTCCCAGGATTTGGACGTTAATAATTCTGAACTTTTCTGCAAGGACTTGCTAAACGTGGAAAACATGAACATTTTCTCAATGTTACCATCTTTAAAAGAACTTCAATATTTCTAAATTTTGTTTGTCAATGGCATATTTACAATTTCTATTAAAATTTTATTTTATTTTCAAATGTCCTTAAACAAAAAATTTTAAATCAATTTTAATAAAAATTCATTAAGCAAGTAATATATAATGGTTTACAATTCTATTTTATTTTATTTATTAATAAAAACATTTAAGATGTTTTTGTTTTTTAAATCATTAAAAGCCACAGTAACCGGCTTTACGAGTGCATTACTTACACTTCTCGTACCTACTTTGTTATGGTAAAGAAATTATTACCATCTGTAAATAAGTTATTATTAAAAAGTAATTATAGGAAAGAGCAATTTATTTAAAAACGTAAGTTTCTAAACAATTTTAATTAAATTTATGACTGAATGAATTTAAATTTAAATTTGTTTCATAACACTTGAGTCATTCTATTTTTACTTCATCTAAAATTTAATATATAAACACTTGCAAAACCAAGAGATTTGCATCAGTTAAAGTTGAGCAAAGAATTGAATAGGACGCTAAAATGTGGTATAAGTATATACATCTTCTATTAATTGTTTCGGGTATTATACAAAATACTTTCTTTTACAGTCTAATTATTAATTATTTTTTTGTATATTAGTCTATTTATGTGCATATTATGCATACTATCCAGATTCTTCAGCACCAGATTATCCATATACAGGACTAGGAATTGCAATGCTTCGAACGAAATAGTTCGGAACTTTTCTGCAAGGACATGCTAAAAGTGGAAATCAATAATATTTATAACCATCTTTAAATCGACTTCAATATTTCTAAATTTTACTTGTCAATTGTATACTTACACTTTTTTGCTCTCTCAAAATTATATTTTGATTTCTAATATCTTTAAAAGAAAAATTTTAAATAAATTTTATAATGCATTCTTTAAGTAAGTAATTTACAGTGGTTTAATATTTTATTTAATTCATGATGTTTTTTTTTAATCACAAAAAAATACGATTGTTGCACAAACTTACAAGTGTATGGCACTTCTACACTTCTAACCAATTTTCTCATTGACCTTTTAACCAAAATTTATTTAACATCACAAGTTGTGGTTAATATATAATGGTACTGCTTTGTATTTTGAACAGCTTAAAATCACCCTTAACACACAAGAAAAGTATCTCAAAACTAATAGAAACTTAGAACGGATAGAAGTGACATTATGGTGCATTTGATTGAATCATTGTTTGATTGACAGTTGACAGTCAAAATTGATTTTTCTAATATTGCAGCACTTCATTCACTGTAAATAAATATTAATCCCCAGAGTATCTGTGGGTATGCATAATTTTGAACCCTAACGTGCCTGCGCATCTGAAGAGAATTGCTGGCATTAAGTGTTTGCTAAGCTACTGCGAAAATAGTCTTCGGGATAATAATTTGAATGAAACGATGTGGTTGAAATCGTATTTATACCGTAAAGACAGGAAATAAATTTTTTTTTTTCAAATAAATTTTTGATCAAAATTTCACTTGATATAGAAAAAGTTGTATGGAATAGATTATAACATTTATTTTGTACCTTTTGATCCTAATATATATATATATAAAATAAAAAAAAATAATTTAAAAAAAGGTTCGAAATTAAAAACAAAGTGAGATAATTGACTGAATGATCAATGTGAAAGTAAAAGTAAATTAAACCTAAACAATGAAATAAGTATAGAAGTATGATATTTAATTGTTAAAACTTTAGAAAACTATATTTATTAGTTAGATTGGTTCGAACAGTAATAAAAATCAACAACAAAAAATTTTAATTAATTTATTAAAATTTGACTGAGCATACAACAATGTTACGAGTATTGACAAGTACTCTATAAATTCAACAAATTATATACGGACTATAAACTAAATAATAAATTCGAATATTTTCTAAGATCACTGATGATTAGCGCCACATTCGAGAAAAAAAATTAATATTAAAAAATTAGAATTGTAAGATATATGAACAACAATATTATTTCAATAATGTTTCAATTCCCGCGTTTTACTAAACCGATTTCTGGAATTCAGAGAATATTGAACATTAGCCAGATTGTTATGGATAATAAAGCAAGCAAACAAATCATAGAATATGATCTCAGCAAATTGTTACATACTTTCGTCAACTTTTCACAGTCTTTTGAAGGAGATAAATTCTAAAGACGCGTCTATCGGAAGCTATGCTTAACATATGCAAAATAAAAATCTTTTATCAAACTAAGAAGTTAGTTCAGTTATTATATAGAAAGGTTTACCTCCTATTATATATATCGAACTAAAAATACTAGAATAATAAGAACTCTTGCCTTAACTTTACTTAACTAAATACTCGTATGTTTAAAAATAATTGCTAATGAGGGTCATCAATTTAGAAAAACGTCTGCAAGACCTCCACTGTATCCGATTGTTGGTTCTATAAGGGCCATAAATCGGCTATGTCGTCAGCAAGACCTCCACTGTAGCCGATTCTTGGCTCTATCAGGGTCATCAATTTAGTATGTCGTCAGCAAGACCTCCTCTGTGTCCAATTGTTGGCTCTATCAGGGTGATCAATTTAGTACACCATCAGTAAGACAACTGTTATGTCCGATTTGTCTTTTTGTTAGTTTTATATCGTCAATGATAGAGCAGGTATAAATTCCACAATTTAGGAATATTGCAGTTGGACAACCACGTTAGTTTACGAAGAATTACATTGGCTAACTAAAAAATAAATTTGGCCAAACACATTTCTGTAGTACTGGCATTATTGGGCTCTGCTGATTCGCTACTGCATTGTACAATGCATCAGCGGCAAACCTGATTTATTTTTTCTCTCATTAAGCTTGATATTTTCTTGCATTCATACTTGTTCACATAAGTATACATATCCGTGAAAGCAAACGAAATTAAGTTTAATGAAAAGCAAAAGTGTGTTCTGAAAATAGCGATAATGAAAACACATTTTCAACAGGAAATCGTCCAAAACACATTTACAATGTTACAAAAGCAATATATTGTGTTCGTTATCGAAATATATTTATTTTTCTTAAAATATGAATTATATATCAAATATTAAAATTTCCATTAAAAAAACATTCATAAAATAAATTAATAAAAATAAATTAAATGAACACGACATTTTACTATATTTTTAAAATTAAAAACGAAATACCTTAGTCGAAGCTATTGTCTTATCATTTGACAGTTTTTTTAACTTATATTACACTTAATGTCAATTTGCAAAGATATACAAATATATATTATTGTTATTGTTTTGAAACATTTTATTTATTTACTCAATTTTGTTCTTTAAATTTTGCCAGCCTAACAACTTTCTGACCCAAATTCAGCTTAAACACGTACGACTTGTAATCGTAAAAAATTATCAACAAACGTGGAGAAAATAAAAAAAAATACCATATAAAATATCTCAGAATTTACTTTTACATAAAAAATATTTAAACAGAATTGTGCTATGTACTATGAATGTATAAATATATCCGAAGAAAAACACTTGTAATAAAATTACAGACATTCGTCGCCGGCATCAAACAGATTGCAGCAGTCCTCACAGGCATTACTTTTATGCACATTCTTTATGATTAGTAATGCCAGAAAAATATACAAAATTCATAAATATAATTCAGTTTCAGTTTCAGATTCAGATTCAGTTACAATTTCTCATATTTACAAGAAAAGATTACATAAAATAAATGAAGGCAAAACGTTCAAACAAGAGATTTTTACGAATTTGTGCGAATTTATGCGGATTTTTATGGATTTTTATGGATTTTTGTTGTGAACAACATGCGTTTTTGAGTGCACAATTGTGCCAGCAACAAATTTTAGTAGCAACAATATCGCCAGACGGCATCAGCACCCACTTTTTACAACCCACAAAACATATTTAGCAGTTAAGTAATATTTACTTTTGTCGTTAGTTCGCTCCCCTCAACCCGTACTGTACTATGGAGGCAATTTGTAGTCAACACACATGTCACGTATTTTCCTCGTAATTATGGAAAACGTGAGAAATTTCGTTAAGAAATTCTTAACATTTGCGAAAATTTCGTACTTTCATTCACATCTATTTATATTTTATGCATGACTATATATAGTTATACATGTATACACATATATATATATATATTTACAGTATATAGCGAAAAACTACATACCGCCTGTTACGCATTTGTGTATCCGTGTTTATATATAGATTTGTATGTGTAAATAATGACAACTTTGGCAAGCAACACGTCACAATTTTAAAGTCTAGAGAGAGTAAACAAATGGGGTAAGTCATGCAAACTCTCTTATTCGTATTATAACAGTATTAAATATACATGGTTTTCAATAAATATATAAATATTTTTGAATTATTTAAAATTATTTAAATTTAAAATTGAAAAATCAGTTCCAAAAAATTATTCTTTACAGTGTGTTTTCACTGCTTACTTACTAAGTAAGTTTCATAAATCATGCAAAAAGCTTCCGTGCTTTTTAACTTACTGAAAAAAAAGCAAGCAAAATTATACTACATTCATACAATCTCAATTAGACGATTTTGTTCATTATAGCCACTAATGAGTATGGTTTATCGTACAAAAATCTTTCATATAAATGCGTTCATTATCAATAAATGAGCTCATTTAGGTAAGCCGAAAAATGTTAAATGCAACCCTTAAAAACAAATTTTGCCACAAGAGAAATTAGCAACATTTCAAATACGTTTTACATGTAAAATGTGAACAAACAACAGGTAAGTCAGAGAAATTCAATATGTAATTAATATATAAAATAAATATAAATGATATATCATAATTTGATAAATTCTTATAGTGAAGTTTATTTAAACAAACAAGAACTCTCTCAGAACTTTCAAAGATCGTCCTGACACATAAAAGCTTTTTCACTCACAATAAGTAACTTATTTAATTGGAAACATTCAAATATTAAAGTTACTTAAGTAATTTACTAAGTAAGCAGTGGAAACATGGTATTAGATTAAATTAGACTAGCAGCTTAGAACTTTCAAAGATTTTTCTGACACATAATAGCTTTTTCACTTGCAATAAGTAACTTATGTAAATGGAAACCATCAAATCTTAAAATTACTTAAGTAACTTACTAAGTAAGCAGTGGCAACATGGTATTAGATTAAATTAGACTAGCAGCTTTCTGCTCCAAAGTTCACATAAGCACTGATAATGGTTTATTATTGTACTACTGATAACAATATAACTGTGCAAAACACCGTGTTAATGGTAGAAATGAGCAGCATCTAGCGCACGAATAGTGTTATTTTGATAAAGCCCGACTTCTTCATTTAAGCAAAAGAAACCAAACTTATAAGTTTATATACTTGGCTATCCTTATTTTAAGGGATAACAGCTCTGTTAGATCAGCTAAAAATGGAACGTCAATATTTTGAATCTTCTCCTGGACAATAATAGTTACTTGAACATAAGGTGGAGTACAGTTTCTTCCTGCGCAACCCGAAAAAAGTTCTTAGAGAGAAGACCAAGTTTTATTGTACAACTTACTAATATGCAGTCAGTACCTATGTCGAAGCACTTAGTTTTTTCTGCTTTAATTATGTTTTTTATCTTTTGTGTAATATATTTGATTTTTTGAAATAAACATAATATCATGTTTATTTTATTTTCTATAATATTTACTTGCTTAAGAAAATGTTTAGCAGAAACTAATCGT